AGAGAGAGAGAGAGAGAGAGAGAGAGAGAGAGAGAGAGAGAGAGAGAGAGAGAGAGAGAGAGAGAGAGAGAGAGACGGTTACATACATGAATCGAGGCTGTGTCTGTGTGAGTGGCAGAGATAGCAAGAGATCTGAACACAAATCAGATAAAGATATTTTGCTTACCAATCTCTCGTGCAATTCTTGTGTCTCGGATATCAGTTCCAAGTGTGAATACTCATCTGGATGCTCATTGCATGTGTGTGCGAGGCTGAGGGTGATTGACTTGCGAATCATTGCAAAAGGCAGTCATCAAACATCAATCGAACAAATCCGGTTCCCCAATTGGAACAAACTTCAACAAAGCCTACAAGCTGTTACAATTCTGAAACTCATGCAGTGGTTCTCTGGTCAAAAGGTAACTTATTCCTGTATGCGAACAAAAATACCATTGTCATGATTCGGACAGCTGTGCGGGCAATTCAGGTGTGAGGATCCGCATACTGGTGTCTATGTGGTCTGTCTGGAGTGACTGAGAATACCCATTAAATTGCTCTTCCTAAGTCTTTCCCAAATTCCGATTGGAAACAAAACCCTGCAGAAAAGGATGTTTGCGGCATTGGAATACGGCTGACTTCTGGTTGAGAGTAGTTGCCAAAAATACTACTACCAAAACAAAAACGGAAAGCTAACAAACATAATTTTTGCTGCACCGCCCTGGTTTGGGACCGAATCTGGACATCTGGATGGCATCCAGACCCAACCTGGGTCCAGTCCAGATTCTATGTCGGTCCAGGTGTAGTGTAACCATGAAAAAGCCGGTGAGAAACTTCTAGAATGCGTTGAATGGCAATTAGCTTACAGTCAGAAGAAGTTTGGACTGCTGGAGTAAGGTACATCATTGGCTTCAACCAGCAGTTCTGGCTGTGTAGCACATGTGCACACTTCGTGAATTTGTGGTGTGAGTGTGATGCTGATAAATGCTTTCAGGTTGATCTGAGCCTTGGTGTGGCCAGAGCACAGGAATTGGCATTTCATGGACATTATTATTCATTCCTCCAGAGTTGGCTCACCTGATCTCCTGACCGCAAATGAACCACGTCCCCTACAACGAGCTCCCATATGGAGATCACCTCCCTTGAACCGCCCCTTGATACCTGACAAGCGAAGATAAGGCATTAGAATGGTTAGATGTATCATTGACAGTGAAAGAGAACTTTGAAAGTTTAGAAGACTTCTTTGCCACACAAAGCCAGCACGCCTTTCTAGAGGCAGTCGCAACCATCACAAAAAAATGTCAAACGCTATCGTCTTTGCTTTCACATGCATCCTTGTCCCACGAAAGATCTCTAAGTGAATACACCGTACACCTGCTTGTATGAGAGTAGGAAACCATAGCCAACCACAGCTTTGGCCACCAGCTGTTTCCCTCGAAGGCAACCAACATGTTGAACCAGCATGATCTGCAGGAACACCTCCATCTGCAGAAAGAGCTTAAGAAAGTACTTTCCAAGGAGGGGTGGCATGCATTCATATGAAAAACAGAAATGCCGTTCATACACGGGCAATCATTTTCGACCCTCTGCAGTTTGCAGCCAAGCAAAAAAATTGTTGGAAGTAAGTTGACGGCCACAGATGGATTGAAGCCTTACTTATCAGCAGGGAAGGCGTGTTTATGATGGAAAGTATGTCCAAATAAGGAAACTCTTGTCTTGATTAAAAGGTTCAGGAATAACCTGCGTCCACATAAGGAAACTCTCGTCTTGATTAAGAGGTTAAGGAATAACCTGCGTCCAAATAAGGAAACTCTTGTCTTGATTAGGAGGTCAAGGAAAAACCAATAAGCGACTTCAAGAAATCGTGATGGTCAGCACCATTGCAGTCTGAGATACTGCAATTTCCTGTCCTCCTGATCTGATTGCTGAGAACGTGGATTCCGAGGTACTTTGCTGTGCTTCCGAGCATGAATGTGATCTGCTGCTAATGTATGTATACCGTGTGGGTTTGCCTGAGTCGAAGTCTTAGTCCGTCTGCTAAATCTGTTAGCCATGTTGAGTAGCGGTGCCTCTGGAGAGAGTAGGGATAGGGGTAGGATCAGGGACAGGATGGGTAGTTAGCAGTAGGGAGTCTAGGGACATATTAGGGGTTGAGCAGGGTGATGCATGCCCACTAAAATCAGGGGAAATCCCAAGGGGAAATCCCAGGTCCAAAGGTCATGAAGGAGACAACGAGGTACAACATGAAACAACATAAGACTCGAATCAGATGGGTCTAACTTGACTATGCAGCAAAATGACAATTTGACTTGAGTCCGATCTCAGACCAGCAGTTTAGGGGTCCGAACACAGGAGAGACCTCACTGCTGTAATCATACAAAGATGAAGCACAAGATGGGAGATGGAGGAAGGAGGAGGTGAAAGCGGAAGCAAACCCTTTGGTTGCACTTAAGTTTCAGAGGTATACTCATGGAGCACAGGGGATAGCAGAATTTGAAATATTTGAAATTAAAGATCCTAAAAAACAGCAGCGTCCGCATCAACAGTAAGTGCGAACGGAGCGCTGCGCTAGTTTGCGCTAGCGTCTGCCCAGGCCCGTCGGGCGTTCGCCCGCGGGAATCCGACCCTAAGCCCGCCGGCTTGCCGGCTCCAGCCTCTCCCGCCATCGCGCCCAGCCAAGCTGCGCGCCACTTGTTGAAACTTCGAAGCCTGGCGGCCAAGCCGCCATCGCCATCAAGGTGTAGGTAGCTCACGCTCAACGTGCGAGCGCCCGACCTCGTCATCGCTGTCGGTGCGAATACCCTTACAAGGATATCCGCCCTGGTTTTTGCAGGCAACACGAAATAAGTCTGGTTTGAAAGTTTAATCATACCACGCAAGGCGTGGCTGTGTCTGTAAGTCCTGGTGACCAGACAGTTGACTAGACTAGAGAGTGTGTGGGCGCGCTGATTGAAAGCCCGGGTGATCTCCTTCCTTTTGATGACTGTTAAAATTGGCATTAGTCGCTGACCAGATTTTTATTTTGGGTTAAGGACTAAAAAGATTATGCACTGTTGATCGCTGTATTCGCCTGTGACTTGTATGAACGTACGGAGGACGGGATCGACAACAGTATGATATTAAAACGTTCTGGTAAGTCCGCGCGTCGCATAGTGTTAGTCTATCTGGGTGTCCGACAAAGCTAGACCCAGCCTTGGACCTAGCGCTATTTTGTTGCGGCATCAGACTTTCATTAAAAAGATTCGGGGAGCGATATCAAGCGGCGATGGCAGGCACACACTTTCTTTTCCCTCGATCATCATATTCCAATGGTTAACAGTTTCTAAGTACCTTAGTCCTTAGTATCTTAATACTATTATCTTATGCTTTGGTGTCCTTTGACTTGGACACAACGTTGAGTTTAGAGGCCGTCATGGCAGTTGAGGCCCTTGAGCACGCGTCTCCTTTAGGGCTCCCCTCCACTTCGGCCCTGATAGTTCTACTACGACCACTGAGATCTGCACCGGGACTGCTATCCCTTTGGCCAACGTTGTAGGCTCACGGCAGGGCTGCACTCTCTTGCTTCCCATAGAATTGGGGTAGCCAGGATAGCCGTGCGCTGGTCACACACCTCTGCGTTATTAGCTGGCGGGGGGTTCGATCCGAAGGGTAAGTTGACATGTTCTCCCTGACGGGTCCCAACTCCTGTGATCGTCGGCCTACTATTTGCCTCATTCGACTGGTGCGCTCGGTCGTATCGGGGCTGGATCGTAGCTCGGCGCAGAGGCGGAACAGGAAGCATGAGAGAACAGGGGACGAGGCCGATGGAATACTGAAAAGAGCAAAAGGAACCTACACGAACTTCTGCGCCAGGGGCATGCGCAGAAGGGAGCAGAGGCAAAGAAGCGGTAACACTGTCGTGCGGACCGGCCATAGGACCCTGGGCGTAGAAGCGAAAGACTAGTTGGGCTGCCGAGTAGCAGCCTCATTTGGAGTTGCCCCACGATCACGGAGTCGGCTCGGCACATTGGACTACACACAAGCACTAGCGGATCGCTGCCTGCGAAAAAGGAGGCTGCGTTAGTAGTAAAAAGAGGCGGAGAACCGGGAGCAGCGAATGTGGAGAGGAAAGGGATGAATCGAGACGGGATCTGACACCGGGTGTGTGTGCAGCAGGGCGGATCGCAGCGACAAGGAAAAAGCAGCTATGATGGACTGTAGATTGTGTTGTTCGCTCGATTCTCGATGGAATCAGGCGAACTAGGATGCAAAGTGGGGGTTCTAGAGCCGGGCGATTCCAAATTCGAAGTTAGTTTTGGCTAGAGATTAGTAGGCTAGGCGCCATTAAGAAAACGGGGTGCGCAGCAACTGACGAAGGGAGAGGATATGGCGAGGGGGAAGACAGACAGCGCACTCGATTCTTAACACAATCAGGCGCGGGGAGAGGCGAATTTGGGGTTCTTACCCCGGGCGATTCCGAATTTGACGTTAGTTTTAGCAGTAGGTTAGTAAAGTAAGAGTTAGTTGAGATATAAACAGCGTGAAGGTGTTGAGGAGAACGAGGTGAAGAGTGAAAATCTCACCCGATCGATGATGAAACCGGGTAGAGTAAAGACAAGATCGGGGATTCTAAGGGCGAGCGACACTGGATCCAAGGCTAGAAGTAGGTAAGAGTTAGTGAGAAGAGAAGTTAGTAGAAGGGGTCGTGCGTGGAGCTTCTCGAAAGAGGGCTATGGTCGTATGAGAAAAGTGAAGATCTAGTTGATAACGAGCGAGAAAGGAATCGCTGCGGAGGGGGTGAGGGACAGCGAATCCGATCATAAAGTCGGACGTTGCAGACGGTGTGCGTTTTCTTCGCTACGAAGGATAGACACTGCGCACTGGATGTACCTTGCCCATCTTTTGGGAAAGGTTCATTCTCGTTGTGCACACTAGGAACGGGAAGTAACCACTGCTGGTGATCGGCGATACTGCAGTCTGTACGACTTCGTGAATAGTGCTCTTCGTCATTCCCTGCTGTGATTACATGCATTAAGGAGTCAGAGAGGAAGGGGTGAAAATTTCGGCTTATTTTGGCCGATTCGGACAAAACGAGCTCTCAGAGTTTCGGAGAGTTGCGAAGAGAGAGGGAGGGTGCCTTCTTAACCAGCAAAGATTGTAGATATGTGGAAGACTGAGGGTTGGGAGCCAGTCATCGGGTGGGGGCTTGCCGTAGGATCGAGGCGCTTTTCACCCAGAGCGTTCGGCGAAGTAGTCTGAAGGCAGCCACAAGGGCTTGTGAACTCGCCTGGCGGCTGAGCCGGAGCAGCAAGGAGGCGGGTTACGAAAGCCTGGAGGCATAGTCGTTGGCAGGCCGCTGGGTGCTGCCAAACGACGAGCGGGCAGGGAGAGAGGACTTGCCTGTTCGCCTGTACATTGCTCATATTCGACGACCCATGTACCAAGGGAGCCAGCAGGGCTGCAGGGAGGCTGTCGGCTAGGGACACTATTTGTCCTCTAAGCGAAGTAACTGGGAGGAAGCTCGGAGGCGTGGACCTACCAGTGGGCTGTCGTGCCACCCAGTCCTTTGATCGAAGTACCGAGGAACGGGGGTTGCAAGGTTATGTGTTTGCCTGCTAAACACTGTGCTGCTCAACCTCCCTATGCCTGTTTTTTTTAAACAGGCCAAGCTACTACAACGTATACTGTATCTCGCCGGGTATGGACGGTGCACTTACTGTACACTTTGCTCAGCTACTAAGCGCACCAATTGGGCCTTGCAAAGCTGCACCCTGTGATACTGGGTGATGCACGAGTGGAGCTGGTGTAAGCGGTCGGGAGACTTACCTGCTGGTGGTACGGTGCTCATTCTACAGCTCGGAGTGACAGGAGACAGGCTGCGAAACTGCCGGCCCATCCTCTTGACTGGCAGCACTATTCGCTGCTGAACGAAGCAGAAGCAAGGCCAGCCGCGAGGGGAAGGCTAGGCTGTTGACCGATGTACTTTCCGCCCTGTCGAGTGAAGAGGCAAGAAGCCAGGCTCGAATTAGGAGTCTGCCTGCTAACTCGAGTGCCGCCTCTTCCGTAGGATGAAATAGAGAAGGGGTCGTGTTAACTACGGCATACTGCGGCTTCTGTTAACTGTGCACGAACTGCTGCTGCATCTGTTAATTTGTTGCTGCATCTGTTGGCTGTGCATGAAC